GCCTGTGGCACCCATGTCTGCTGCACCCCGAGATGTGCCCTTGTGCCTCCCGAGCGGGCAGCACCCTGCTCTGCTCTCCCCCAACTCATGTCCCGCTGTCCCCCGAGCTGGCAGCACCCTGTCTTACTGCCCCTCGGAGCCTGTGGCACCCACGCCTGCTGCACCCTGAGGTGTGCCTTTGTGCCTCCCGAGCGGGCAGCACCCTGCTCTGCTGTCCCCCAACCCACGTCCCGCTGTCCCCCAAGCTGGCAGCATCCTGCCCTCCAAGCTGGCAGCACCCCGTCCTGGTGCCCCTCGAGCCATGCCACGGTGCCCCCGGCCCGGCAGCATCCTACCACCCCCCTACCACACCGCCGGGAGTGCGGTGCCGCGCTGTTACCCCACCGGGCAGCCCCGTGCCCCGCTGCACCCATCCTGCCCTTGTCCTTCTGCCCTGCCTACCGCCTGGCAGCGCAGGCAGCCTGCCTGTTGGAGCCGGGGGATGGAGCGGAGCCTGGTGTGCTGGCAGAGAGGGGAGCAGGCAGACCCCAAAACTGGGCTTCAGGAGCACCCTTGCTGAACTTGTCCCCACTCTGTCACCGAAACCCTGTGCTGTGCCTCAGTGGCCCCTCTTCCCGCGTGTTCCCCATCTTCCCCCGGGTGGGTGGTGAAGGCTGCCCGATGGGATCTGCACTCAGCTCACTGTGCTGGGGGACGGGGACAACCTGTTACTGCAAATGTCCTGTTGCAGTCAGCTGGGAAGGAGGAGTGGTGGGGACAGGGGACGGCAGCAGAGGGGAAGCGGTGATGCTGGACGAAGGTTACTCTGTGTTTTAATATTGCCAGGAGAATGCCTGAGGGTTTCAGGAATGCAGATAAGGAGCCGTACGGCCTTGCTAAGAAACCTGGCCACCAGCCTCAGCACTGGGTTCCAGCGCAAGCGAGCTCCCGGGGGAAGCGGGGGGGAGCCAGGGCTGCCCTGCTGACTGCTGCACACCCTAGTCTGGGGCTGGCAGGTGCGGGTGAGTGTGGGTGGCTGTGGTGGTGGGCACTGAGCAGGGATCTGGTCATGGTTTCTGACTGAGGTGTTGATAACAGCAGGAGGAGAAACTGCTTGAGTGCTGTCTTGACAGCTCTGCAACCAGCAGCGTGCCCCGGTGGCAGGTCCCTGAGGGCAGGGGCCATGGTCCAGGGTGGTTCTCAGGCTGGGGACTGCAGCAGAGGGACCAAGACCCCCTGTGAGGCAGCACCAAGCTTGGGGAGTTGCACAGGTCATGGTTGCTGGTAACTGGAGCCTTGGGGCTGGGCTGGAGCCTGCATCCCCTGGGAAACAGCTTCAGGGATGCTTGAGGAAGCGGTGAGCTCTGCTGGTCCATGCATCGGGGAAGTGGGTGATACAGTCTTGCTTGAGTTGGAGGCAGGAGAGTGCCTCTGGCTGCCTGTGCTCTTGAGAGGGCTTCCACCACCTTCCCTAACCCAGCCAGTGCCGCCCAGCACCCCTGGGAGAGGGAGGGCTCCGTGTCCCACCTGCCAGCCCACTTCCCACTGTCCCTCTGCCTTGTTGGCAGGATACCTGGAAGCTCCTCGGTCTTCTTGGGGTGCCCAAATGAGGGCTTTTACTCTAGCAGGGTTCCTGTCCACCACATGTCCATGCACAGATGGGTACCGTGGTGCCTTGGGCAGCTCTGCAGGGAATTGTCCCCATTGCTATGGAGATCATGGATTCTGGTAGCTTGCTGCCATCCCACAGCCCTCTGGGCTTGTCCTGTGGCCCCTGGCTGTGGGAGATGCCCCCAGACATGGTTGCTCTGGCTCTGGCACCGTGCCCTGTGTTGCTATGGGTTGGGAAAGGCCATTGACCCAACTCCTTGTCCCTTCCCCCAGTGCACTGGCTTTTACTGCTGTTGACTCACTTCAAACCTGTTTTCTTTCCCCAAGTCCAAGGGTCTGGGTGTCCCAGGCAGCCGGAAGATGCCGCCTGCTTGGGGGGGTGGGTAGTGCTGCTCTCTGCCCGCCTTTCCTTTATCGTTTCATCTTCCTCAAGAATTCCAGTGTGTTTGCTCTCGCTGGTCCCACTCGGAGGTGCTGAGATAAGGCTGGAGGCAGAGCCTGCCTCACCTCTCCCCAGCAGCCTGGCCCAGGAATGTCCTGGGCCCCCTGCCCCCATGGAGCCCCAACCCCAAGCCTCTCCCTACCCCAGCCATCACCCCTTGCAGCCATGGTTGGCACAACTGGCATGGAGACCATCCTTGTAGTGGTGAGGAATTTCTCATGGAGACCTTGGGATAGGACTCATGTCTTCCTTTGGGAGAAACCTTACCTGGGGGGAGATGCTAGTGGAACCCCTCTTCTCCTGCCCAGGCTCTGGATATGGGCATAGCTGTGGCCAAGCACACTCCATCCACAACCCCTCTACCGAGACTGTGGTCACACCTGAGTGTCCTGTGTACCTCCCCTGGGGTCTCTGCTGACTGTGGTCCATCCTGGAGCTGTGCCCTGCCTTCCAGACCTGCTGCCTTCACTGAAAGGGTTTGACTTCCCCCACAGGATGTGGTCCTGTCCCTAGTTTGGACACGAGAAGGGAAATGCCAATGTTGGTCAGCGGGGAGAAGATCCCTGCTCAGCCCAGCCCAACCGTGATGTGCATGGGACAGCACAGAGCCACCCAGCTCAGCATGGTGGCATGGGGCCCTGTCCTGCATGTGACCTGGGTGTGCCCAGTCACCTGTGCCACTACAGGGTCAAGTTGTGCCCCCCCTCACATTCTGTCACCACTTGCCTTCCCCCCATGCCCTGGGATTTCAGCCTCCCAGCTGGACACCAGAACAGCACTGGGCTGGTGAGCCACGGCCAGGGCTCAGTGCCACATGGCTGAGCTTGGACGTCCCACCCCAGCCTGGGTCCCACAGGGCCTGTGGGCCACAGTGGCATTTCCACATCTTTGCTGTCACCTTGAAAGACCCTCTGCTCCCCCCCAGGCAGGAGGGGGACCTCACCACACAGGCAGGCATGGTCACCCTGGTTCCTGAGGATGCTGTATCTCCTCTGGGCTATGTGTGGGGAGGGGGTGGGCTCTCCCTGCAGCCCCCAGCAAGCAGAAAGCCTGCGGACAGCCCATGTCCATGGGTTTCTTGGTCCCTGCCTAGCTGTGTGTGCAGGCAGCACAGTCCCTGGTCAGGCAGTGCCCATCCTTACCTGCTTGCCCTTGCCCATCTGTGTCTGCTCTCTGCTGCCTTTGCCTACTCCCTGCTCATTTCTGCCTGCTTCTTGCCCATCTCTGGCCATCCCTGCCCGTTGTCGTCTTCTCCCTGCCTCCTGTGCCGGCTCCCTGCCCATCCCTACCTGCTTGCCCTTGCCTATCACTGCCTGCTCCCTGCTTATCATTGCTCATCCCTGCTTGCTCGCTCCTCGTAGTTGCCCGTTCCCTGTCCATCCGTGCCTGCTCCTTGCCCACTGCTGCCCTGCCCGCGCCTGTCCCCACCCGTTAGTACCCACTCCCTCCACGACCCTCCCTGCCTGTCCCCGCCTGTCCCTGTCCATTGGTACCTGCTCATTGCCTGTCGCTGCCTGCTCCCCGCCCGTCGGTACCTGCTCCCTGCCGCTCCCTGCCCGCTCCCTGCCCGTGCTCTGACACCTGCTGGCCACCAAAGGCACAGGCAGGGCCGCCCGTCCCCGGCAGGGTGCTCCGGGACCCTGCCTGCCGCTGTGGGCCCAGCCGGGCAGGCAAACATGCAGGCAGGCAGCTGGGTGCTGCCCCGGACAGGGAGGGGAAGGTGGGACCCTCGGGCTGGGGCTGCGCTGGGAGGGGCACATGCGAGGGACAAGACAGCTCAGGTGGGTCCTGCTAGGAAAGGGTGGCCCTGCCTGGGGGGCTGGTGGCAGGCAGTGTCCCTGCCTGGGGGACAGGGGCTGGAGGGTCTCAGTGTCTGTGTGTGGGCAGGCTGCCCCTGAAGGACAGAATGGCTGGCACTGAGGGCAAGAGGGGTGCCCAGAGCAGGGTGCTGGCATGAGAGTGGCAAGGGAACACCTGGAGTGATGGCTGGGGAATGCTGGGGGGCATCAGGGACTCCTTACTGCCCTTCTCTGTGGGGTGCCCATGGGGCCAAGGACCTTGGGAGCCGCTTGTGCCACGTGCCAAGTGGCACCACGGTGGTGTTGGACGGGGACAAAAGTCGCTCCCCTCCCTCCTCCTCCTCCCCTCACCTGGCAACTGTTTGTCCAACACCTTCCTGGCTTATCTCCCCACACCCAGGGAGCCGTGGGACGAGGGCAGAGGTGCTCCCCCACCCCATGCAGGGCAAAGGCCTGCCTGGCACTGCCCTTCCCAGGGCCCGGACCCTGCCAAGCACAAGAGGGTTTCCCCACGAACAGCAGCACACACCTGCTCAGGACAGGAGTGAGTGCTTGGGGCTAGGATGAGGTTTTTGAGGGGGCAGATTCCTGCAGAAGCAGTGCTGGGGAGTTTCTGAGCCCGGGGATGTAGCCAGCATCAGGTTTTATAGCCCTGGCACATGCTCACCATGACTGTTGTCTCACAACCCACAACATCCCATGGTGGGGGGTTCCAGTGCTGAGCTAGGCATCACACGAAAATGTCCCCCATGGTGGCTGGTTTTTAGACTGCTGCCCAGTCATTTTATTTAATATTTCCCAGGACTGGTCTCGTGCATGACCATGAATGTTCTGTCCTTCATCCCGATTTTATAGGGTTCTCTGGGACCCCCCATCATCTCCTTTCCAGTCTGTATAGTCCTAGCCCATTCATCTGTTTGTTTTTGTTGTTGTTGTTTTTTTTTAAAAAGCTTCCATATTGCTTTTCCTACACCTTTTCTAGCTCTCCTCCACCTCTTTTTGCAACAAGGAAAGGAACCAGAAGTGCAGGCTGTACTTTTGCAAGACAAGCGCGCAGGGGTTTGGTTGAGATGTGGCTGGGGGAAGTGGACAGCACAGGGTGAGGCTGGGAGGGCTGTGTTGCACGTGTTTGGGGCTGGCATCCCTCTGCTTGCTGGGGAGGACTGTGGCAGAAGGGGACGAGGCAAGGCAGGTCTGGGGGTTTTGGGATCTGCTGCTGTTGCAGGAAATGGGGGAGAGATGGAGGAGGAGATGGGTACCCTGTTGGGGTGCACACCCTTGGGAGATGCTATGTCAAATGGTGGGGCATCAGACACTGTGGGGAGTCTGGAGGGCACGGGATGGACAAGATACCTCATGTTCTCAAATCTTCCTCTGCTGAACCAGCCCCCAAAGGATCCTGAGAGGCTTCATGAAAGCATGGTGGGATACAACCTGTCAACCAGGCAGCTAATCCCCCTCCAAAAAGCTTTTACTGACCCTGCTCCTCTGCCCTGCAGCGCTGCAAGGACCGCTTGAACTCCCTGGCCATCTCCGTCATGAATCAGTGGCCAGGGGTGAAGCTGCGGGTGACAGAGGGCTGGGATGAAGATGGGCACCACTCAGAGGAGTCGCTGCATTACGAGGGCCGAGCTGTGGACATCACAACCTCGGACCGGGACCGCAACAAGTATGGCATGCTGGCTCGCCTGGCTGTGGAGGCTGGCTTCGACTGGGTCTACTATGAGTCCAAGGCACACATCCACTGCTCCGTCAAGTCAGGTAAGGCCGGGGAGGTCACTGAGCAGGGCTGGGGGCCAGCGCCTCTGTTGCGGCATGCTCGGGGAGCCTGGCTGGCTGGCAGGGGTGCTCCTGGCAGGGTGCTGGCTTTTGCAGCCTGATTTCCCTATCTGGGGCAGACAGTCGGGTGGGGAGTGAGTCACACACCTGTGGCCAGCAGTGCCATGGGGCAAATTCCCCATCTAGCTCCCATGGACCTTCATCCTGATCCACCCTTTCTACCCTCCTCCTTTTTGCACCCCACATCTCCTTCTCCCCCAGCCTGTCCCCAGTCTGCCCATTGCATCTGTCTCCCCTGCCCCTGTCCTTGCAGTCCCTTTGTGCCTAGCTGCCTGAGCTCAGCCCCATCCAGCCCTGCCCTCCTCCACCGCCAGCTGCTCTTGAGCTCCCGCTGTCTCAGCAATGTCTGTCCCACCCAGACTGTCCGGAGTGGGGGACCCCCAGGCAGGGACGGGCCGGGGTTCCCTGGGATCAGCTCTCTGCCATGCAGCTTCGTCTGTGGAGGGGAGCAGAGCTGGGGGGTGCTGGAGGCAGAGGCAGCTGCTCAGGAGCAAGGGGTGCTGCCGTCGCTGGTGGTGTTTGCTCCCCTCTGTGAGGTGCAGTAAGGCGGCGTGG